TACTTCTTATATTTAAATTTAAAACCCTAAAATTTTCATTTTTTGAATTTATTTCAAGAACTGCATTGCATTCACATGCGTTGCTTACTATCTCCGTTTGAATATTACTTGCCTCAAAATCTCTTAAAAAAGGATCCATTATTATAAAAAACAAAAATTTCTTAAAATTTAATATAAAATTTAAATATACAATACATTTATTCATAAAACACTAAAATTAATATGTAATAAAAATGAAAATACCCAAAACACATATATGAACTATCACAAGTTCTTATTTATCTCTCAAAATTTCTTAAAATTTAATATAAAATTTAAATATACAATACATTTATTCATAAAACACTAAAATTGAATTATCCAAAACACATATATGAACTATCACAAGTTCTTATTTGTCTTTTGGTTAAGATCTTGTCTGTGTGGTGGATCTAGTTAATTTTCTAAATGCTGGCTCAGCTTTCTTATGTTCAGTTAGCTTTGGTTTTTTTGTTTCGTTTGCTTTAGTTGATTTTTTATTATATTCTTCTACTGGTGATAATAAGTTTGTCTCTTCCAGTGCCCTTTTTTGACTTGAGATTGGATTGGGTGTTGCAGGAGCACTTGTCTGACTCTGTGGGATTTCTTCTTCTAAGTTTTCTACAAAATAAACCTTATTCACTTCTTTTTGTTCCAAATACTGAACTGAATACACGTCTTCTCCAATTATTAGTTTATTACCTTTTATTTTATCCCTGAGACCTTTTGCTGTTGCCTCCTTTTTGTGTTTATGAAGGGTTTTATTTACTTTTTGGTCTTCGGGGCGGAGATCAGGATTTATGTATATGGATTTACCTTTGAGTTTGTGAGCGTTTTTCAATACTAACTGTTTATTTTGGAATGATATAAATTCAATTAAAATTAGGGCTGTAAGGCTAGTTTTTGGTCCTAATTTGTACGAATCGTTAATGTCGGTTGTTCATATATTAATGTTTAAGTTCGATTGAAAAAAGCTTGTTATATGTGCAATTATATCTTCGTTTTCACTAATTTTTAATCCGAAAATAATTAAATTATTTTTTCTTATTTTTCTTTCAAGGTAGATGTTCGTTTCTTGCAGTTCTATTGTTTGTTGTTCGAGTTCAGCTATTCTGGTTTCGTATCCGTCTAGAGCTTTATGAATTTCTGATCTTAATCCAACAACTTGTGAATATATTTCTTTAATTTTTGTATTTTGCATGATATATTTATGTCAATTTTATTGAATAAATCGGTTATACATGTTTTTTGTATTTCGCTAAAATCCATTTTATTAAGTGTGTGGACCGCTTTAATGAATGTGTTGATTCTTTTTTCTTTATTTTTTTGTTTAATTAGTTTTATCCAATTTGTTGACGTGTTGTTGTCATGCTTTGTTGTTTATGATATTTATGTGTTTTAGGTCCCAGATTTTTTACCAAATATGATTTTCGAGGTTAAATTTGTATTATCCCGTAAGTTTATATTTTTATTTTTCACTTTTCTGTTTATAAGTTAGCAATATTTATAAGCGTACCTTGAGTCGATGTCACCTAAGGCAGTCCACACACTACTATTAAAGATATTAAATGTTTTGACACCCCATAGTAAGAAAAAATTAAGTAAAAGTATAGTAATTTTTCAAAATAATTTTGGCAATTTGATCGAGAATTCATTTGTGATGTTAATTTTTACCAAAGACCCTCAGAGGAGGACGCTATCATACAATTTTTGTTACTTTTTACGTATTTTCATTGGTAAAATGGTATTTTTACCATTTTTGAAGGTGAGAAATCCATTTTTGTCATCCGTTTGTTGTAAAATATACCCTAGGTGATATTCGAAAGCAATTTTTAATATTTTTGATATATTAGTATAAAAAACTTAAGACTTAAGGACAAATAGCATCACTGCTGTAACCGGCAGAAACACGAGTACCAGAAGTTCCAGCTACTGGATCTACATCCATTGTTCTGGTAATTCATCATCACTTTTTTCTTCACCGGTGGTTATAATAACAATTTAATTAAATGGTCAGAATGTTATTACAAGTTCTGAAAACTTTTCTAGGCACCTAATCAACATTTTCAATTATATATATTGTAAAGATTTCTCCTTACACCAGGTTCGTTAAAACAAGTTTTATGAAAAATTAATAAAAGAACTATTTTGTGACTATGGCTCGTGATCGTCTTACCAAAATTTGGACATCTACGTTGTGTTTACTTACTTGTTTTATTAAATACATTGCTTTAAGAATCATACTTGGGAGACTTAGGTATACAAAAAAATAAAATACAGTGTTTAGTTTACCCCAATTTAATTTACTTTACAAACAGTTAAAAAAAACACAAGGGGTGGCTCTTAGGGAGATACGACCAGGGAAAAAGAGCTTGAGAAAAAACCCTGTTCGGCTATGAAGTAGCAAAGGATTACACGATTAGGCATGGTTTCTTTAAAAGTTTATGCAAATCAAATGGAATGACACGACGCTCGTTACACTATCTACCCCTACGGGTTCAAAAAAATAGGAAAAACTTTGTTAGTTTAACAGGACAGTTAACTGTTAGTCTGTCAACGTTAACGTTGCCCTGTGGAGAACGAGGTCCGCACTGGAAACAACTCGCGTAAAGATGCAGTTTCGGGATAAAAGTTGCGATGCCACCTAGAGAACCTAGGTGACCAGTTATCCCTCACGGTGGAGAGTATTTTAGTATCTACTGCAAACTACGTACTAAGAAAAAGGAGCACTCAAAGTTTAAAATTAACGGTCAATACTCCCTTTTAAGCAACGAAACGTCCTGTATTACACTGATATTTGTTTTAAAATTACCGCAAAAAAAATGCATAATCGTGTTGAGGGAGGGTCTAAACATTTGAGTAGTATACAACTAAATTAAGCCTAAGACAATAAAAGAAAGGAATATAAATTTTTACAGTTAGCAGTAAACTTAAAAGGTAAAACATTCTATAAAAATAGCTAAAACAAAAGGTGTTAATATCGAGTAAAATTCACTAAACGTAGTAGTGCAAAATAACTAATGCTCAGTTTATTTAAATCAAAATCGTTCTACGTTTAGTGGACTTTACTACATAATTGGGCTACTAAAATTAAGAACTAACCTGGGAGAATACACAAACACTTGTAACAATTGTTTACACAGAATTTTACAATAATTGTGGTTTTAGCAAAAATTTACGAAAACGATGCGTTCTCCAACACTTCGGAAAACTTTCTGCCCCTTTCTTTGCTCCCCTCTACCAGTTTCGATCTTGTTTTCGCCTCATCTGGCCAACAGATTTTTTCCCATCTCAGGCAAAATTCCGGTCTTCCACGAAACTTTGTAATTTCTTTACCTAAACGTCCGTTTTCTTACCTCTTTTGCAAAGATTTTTACATTTTACAACACAATTTAGAAATTCCAAATTTATTTAAAAATAAATTTGTAAAACGTATTAAAATACTGAACCATTACAATATATACCGTAATATTGTAGGTACAATTGTTTTACATTCTCATATTTTTGTTTTCCATTATATTGTCCACAAATATAACAAAAATATTTTAAATGCTTCAAAAATTCATTCATTTTTAACTTTAATAAGTTTAATTAAGTTGTTTTTAAGTAAACAAATCAATTTTACCTTTAAACACCGTCGTTTTTGCTACAAAATTGTTTGTAGAAATAACTGTATTATTTTTAGGCATAAATAAATTTACGTATTTAAAAATAATAACATGATTTTTAGTTAAAGCATTAAAGAGATATTTTTATATTTTGCCAAATTTTCTAGTTAAAATGCTCTTTACGTCAAAAAATATGTTTCTATACTGATATAACAAAAATAATAAATATTGTTTGGAATATCATCCAGTGTATATATTTACAACAAAAATGGATTTCTCAGCCTCAAAAATAATAAAAATATCATTTTACCAATAAAAATACTTAAAAATAGCAACAATTGTGTGACAGCGCCCCCTATTGTAGATCTTAAGTAAAAATTAACATGAAAAATGGATGCCTCGACTATATTGCTAGAATAATTTTGAAAAAATAAAATTGTTTTACTTAATTTTACTAACTTACTGGGTATAGGGCGTTCAAAAATCTACCAACTTTAAATGCGTATAATAAACAACTGAGATGTGATCTAAAAAAACCTAGTAGGGTTTTGTTGTAGAAGCTGCTACCTTTCATTTGCATTTGGTTTCATCCCATTCCCTTTTGCACTGTTGCACTGTGTTATTTATACAACATTTACAATTGGTTGACGTGAAGACCCAGCAAACGCACGCGAGTGACTCGTAAACCATACCACCATAAAGGGTGCAGAAACCTATCTCTATTTTTGTAACCACGTACATATTAAGATTATATATACTGTAAAACGAAGTGGCTTTGTGACAGTTGTATCAGTTTTTGTGGATTATAAAATTTTAGTAAAGTTTCATTATTTAGATACTAATCTGAGCCATTTTGACAGACTAAAAAATTACCAGAAAAAAGTTATTCACAAAAATATTTGTCACAATTTGACCCCACTTAAAGAGCTGATTTTGTAACACCTATCATTTTTCATTTATTCACAAAGTTAGCGTTTGGGACAAATTCACCACCTAAATAAACATACAATGCAAAAATGCTTTATTTAACTCAACTTAGCCAAAAAAAGACAAACTGACTAATTAAAAACATTTCCAAAAATTACAAAATAGTGAAAGATGGGAAAGTTAACAGTAAATATAAATTACAGTTCTGGAACGCGAAAGAAATATCTACGAGACGATATTTGCTCTGGTTTATAATTTAAATTTTTTCGGAAATCTCATAAAGAAGTTTGTCCTTTCGGTCAGGCCACTTCCAATTGATACCACATTTTTCCATTGCACTAGTGATGACGCCAGGAAAAAAAATTCCTTCATATCGTACAATAACATAATCTCCAGACTTTGCTTTTATGTCAACACCAACCACTGAAATAGTTTCTGGTATCTCACCTTCAGGCATAACATCAAACTCAGACATGGAAGACGAGCCACATTCTCTATAAAAGATCGCAACTGAACATTCGCTTGATTCCGAATCACTTTTACGGCGCCTTAAGCAAGGCTTTTTGTTGGATTCTTTGGATGGCGTTTGCGTTAAGGTTTGCTTTAAGGGTTTTTCTGATTATGTTGATGTTAAGGGTCCTTCAGATACTATCGACGTCGATGGCATACTCTGGACTTCATCATTTGAAGCTACTTTTTTAGCTGGCTCTTTCAGTTGGCGCCGTATGGTTTGTGATTTTGGTTTGGCTGTTGTGAAGTCATCAGTAGCAAGGTCGGCTGCACTTTTACTTTTACCGGGAGCTACATTAGCTCTTTTGCGCTTTTGACGTTGGCGTAGCGCAGTTGTTTCGTTTTCTCTGTAATTGTTCAAGAAAATTTTTGCCCAAAGCAAATTTTTATGCCTGCACTCTGGTTGTGCATAATTTCTTCTGACATACGATTTAGAACTTCTACACGGTTTAAGGGGTGTTTGCCACTTTTTTTTAAACCAGCGGGAAAAACCTCAACAGCTCTACCGTGCATGGTATTCATTAACTTTTTTAATAAATTAGGAAATTGGCCTTTGAGGATTGTTCCACATTTACTACCAAACACCGTGTCCTTCCATTCGTGCAAAATTCATCTCCAGTTACCCTTCATGGGCCTAAAAAATGCCACGTCCAACGGTTGGACTAAATATGTTGCGTTGGAGGGTAATGTTATGAATGAAATGTTATTTGCCTCACATTCACGACTGACCTCAATATTCGGGTGCGAACTTAAATTGTCGCCAATGAGTACCTTCTTTTCTTCCTTTTTTTAAGAATAAGTAACATGAAATTAGTGAACCAGTCTTTAACACATTCACTGCGGCTGACGGCCTAGGCCGTCATGCGCGGTGGCTGATATGTGCGACTGACGGCCCAGGCAGTCATGCGTACGTAAGCAACCTTTTGATATATTATATTATTATTATTATATAGAGGTTAGCACAGTTTTAGGTGTTCAGTGCGCTTGATGGCCCAAGCCGTCATGGCCCTACGGGCACTAATTTTAACCAAAACTTGTCTTATGTAATTTCTTAAAGTGTTCTGTAAACGAATTTTACAGAAATTCGAAACAAAAATATGTCAGCACCAGGGGGTCGTTAAGGTATTCTCAGTCAGCAGTGAAAGTGTTAAAACATTGATAGTCTAACCAGCTGGATTGTGTTCTGTTATACCGCCCATGCTCAGGTCCATTTTCGGTCCAGGTTTCTTAGACTTATAAACAACGTACACTGAAGCAATCGCTCCTGCTGCATTTCCAGGCACGTTTATTGAAGTACATGCCTTGGTGGCATTTCGAATTTGCTCGGGATACTGTGCATCGTTTTATAAGCACCAGGATCATTGCCCAGATTTGTTTCGTCATAGTTCCATAAATTAGAAGGAACTTCTCTTTTTCCAGATTATTAAAAAAGTTGTTTATAACTTCGTGATCCACTGCATCCCTCGCTGATGAGCTTAGAGTTTAAGCCCAACAAGATTTTGTAGGGATATAAATTTCTTCAGTACTATTAAGACGCAGCCTCACGTCTCGGTGGTAGAATGGCTTGGGTACACGTTGGTACATTTGGCGTTTTCAACTGAAAAAATATATAATCTTTCAAACATTTTTTGTTTAAGGCTTTACTTTGTAAGAAAAATTAAAATCGCGTATGTAGCCGTTGTGGAGATATACACTTAAATGTATTTTTTTTATAAATTATTGCGCAACAGTAAGCTTAGTCCCTGTGTATCGCCTCTTGTGTTGAGGTTTCTTGGACATTTTTCTATTTCAATTGCTTCACGGATAATACGTTTGGTTCTGTATTCGATGCTAGCCAAGACCCTTGTTTTTTCAAAGTAACTTTCCCAAAATCCCCAGCAATAGCCAACTTATTTATGGAAGACATAAAAGTACGAGCAATCGAACCGGCAACACTAAAATCAAAGTTATGGCTACGGTACGTAGAAGACATTTTTATCATCTGGACCCACGGAGAAGTGGAACTGAAGAAATTCCTGGACCATCTCAACGGAATTTCCAAAAAGATTGAGTTCACAATGGAAACCGAGAAATAACACCAATTACCTTTTCTGGATGTCTTCATAATCAAGAAAAATAATGGCAAATTAAGACACTTGTCACGCGATCCGAAAGGCTGGTGGATGATGACCACAAGAAACAAGAAGATCTGAAAATCCAAACGACGCTACAACAAAACGAATTCTCCAAAACCATCATCAAAAAGGCTTTTAGACCACGACGCAGGTTAAATACCACAGAAGACGAGAACAACAAACCAACTTCGAAGGCCTTTCTTCCCCTCGTGAAAGGGACAACCGAGAGAATAGGCAAAGATCTAAAAAAACATAACATTGAGACAACATTTACCGCCACAAGAAAGATCGGTCAAATACTTCCAAATGCCAAACCAAAAATAGAGTTGGAGGCACAGGAGGTGTACGAAATTCCTTGTAAAAATGTTGACGGATGCTACGTGGGACAGACCAATAGACGTATCAACCTTAGATGCGAAGAACATCGTAACGCAGTCTTGAAACAATAAAAAACATCTTCCTTAGCTGAACACGTCCGAAAAACTGAAATTGACTTTGAAAAAACAAGGGTCATGGCTAACATCGAACACAGGACCCAACACAAGAGACGATACACAGAGACTGCATGGAAACCACAGGCCTCCCGCTAGGTCACTTTTATAGTAAAAAGTTACTTTTTGGTTGGGGGTAACCTTGAAAAAAGTTACCAAAGTTACTATTTCTGTCCAATATATTCCATATATCCCAGTATTAACCATATGAATTCATATACTCGTATGCGGAAATACTTATACGAAAATAACATTACACGCAAAGCACATGGGTGTGTATTAGGGTGGTGCGAAATATGAATATTTTTAAAATTGAAAACGTCTGTAAGTATTTAGAAAACTTGGGTATGATAAAAATAAATATTTTGAATAAAAAAATATATTTTAAATTCCTTCCACCGTCCCAGAGCTATCCTAAATATAAAAATTATAAAATTCAGACGAAGGTTTTTTATGTCATAACTAACTTTTTCAAAATTGGGCAAATTGATTAAAAAAAAAAAACAAGCTAAATGGGGGCCCCCGATCAATTTTAAAAATACAAATATTTTCATATTTGACATTGACTGTGGGTCCGCCCATTTCGCTTGTTTTTTTTTGAAAATTATATTATTAAATAATTTATGGTTGCCATGGCTCTGTGGCAGTGAAAGGAATTTAAAAATATATATGTTTTTGTCACCAAAATGTTTATTTTGAATAGTAAGTTTTCCAAAATTAAACACTTTGATTTTCAAAAAAAGAAACCAAATCGGCTAATCCCCGCTTTATCTGAAATATGAAAATATTTATATTTTTAAAATTGACCGGGGGCCTCCATTTAGCTTTTTTTTTTAATCATATTACTTTATTTTGTAAAAGTTAATTATGCTAAAAATAACATTTTGGCTTAAAAAAGTTTTCTTTTTATATTCATATTTAAAAAAAATGTCCTATTTTTATCAATCTTTTTGAACGAAAAAGATTTAGTAGAACATGAAGTTGCGCAAGCCATGCTTTCTTAAGCATTGCACAAAAGAGCAAATGAAATTAAATTGCAAAAAGACGCAGATAAAATGACAAGTTCAGTGGTCTCTGATACCATTAAGAAGCAAAAAAATAATGTTTTAATGTGTTAAATAATATTTTATTTAGTAATAAGTTTTTTATAGAATGCTTTGTTTTGTTTTAATTGTTTATTTTTTGATACGGTAGCCCAAACTAGATTCTGGTTACCCAGTAATTTTTGCTTTGTATTGTCAATAAACCATGTCATCTGACTTGGTCAGAGTGTCACAAATTTGTTAACCTCCTCCCCCATCATCATTTATGGGCGATTAACAATAATTTGATCTGTGATAAGAGATTTGTTACGTTACATTTAAAATAATTTTATGAATATTACAGTTTTTCCTTTGTTTTATTAGGTTACTATTGGTTACTTTTTTAAACTAAATGGATGTTACTTTGTTACTATTTGAAATTCGAAGTTTTAGCGGGCGCCCCCGCTGTTGCTGCTCTGCTGCTTTAAGTTTCCACTGGCGTTATATGTATGAACTCGCAGCAGAGCAGCAACCGCAGCCTAGCAGATAAGACCTGAAGATGGTACATGAGATTGTACCGAAACGTCGTCGGACCATTTTAAGAACCAAAAACCGACATCACGGAGCAGATCCCGGAAAACCATCAATATATATATATATACATATATATATATATTAGGGTGGTCCAAAAAAGTGAAGTTGATTTTACAGATTGTCTCACCCCCAGTTTTTTTACCTCCAGCATCAATAATAAATTTACAAAATTTTAGGCCTCTAGGTATATTAGAAGGGAGTGCTCGTTAGCTCTGAGATTTCTGTTTTTTTATAATTTATTAAAAAAAAACATTACGCCATCTTTCCACTGGCCAGATAAAATGTTATGCCCTATATATGTATGTATAATATACATTGTATATGTATACATAAATTTTACAATTACAGGGTTCGTAGCGACCGGGAAAACCGGGAAATCCGGGAAAAGTAAGGGAATATAAAATGAGTCTAAAAAGTCATGGGAAAGTCAGGGAATTTAAAGAAAAAACGAAAAGTCAGGGAATTATCTGTAAATAATACTAATTCTTAAAATAATAATAATAATATAAAAGAAAATGAAATGCTTGGGCAATTTTAATGTAAACTACCTAATCGTGTAACTGTCAGTTTGTCTTTGACAAAAGTTAAAGTAACATTACAAGTCTTTCTCGTAAATGTGAAAAATTGTTTAATAACATAAATCAAGGTTCTGAAAAACAAAAAAACAAAAATTAACTGAAGGAACCAACCATGAAGTGGACAGTATCAATAGACCTCTACAAATATTGAGAGAAATAGTTTAAAATAGTTATTTGACTTATTTTTGTATTTTGTTTTGTTTTTATTTACGAGAAATATGCTCTATGTTTTGTTATAACTATTAAGTTAAAAGATCTAAAAAAAGTTTTGTTTTTGAATTACATATGTGACCTGGACGACGGAAAGCTACCTATGGTTAGAAATCAACTTTTCGAGAAAACAGCTGTTAAAGATAACAAGTACTGTACGTGCGTCGCGATTGTATTTGCGCTTCTACCTCTTCTTTTAAAAATAAAATATCAAAAAAAGCAATTCTTGATCTATTTATAACTTTTTTCGCGATTTTTATAATTCATGTTGAACTTTAAGGATGATTTCCAGCAAAAGTTTCAAACTTAGGAGTCTGCGGTATGTTCCATTAAAAAATACGTTAAATTTTTTATCAATTTCGATCAAAAAACAAAAATTGATTCTTCCGACCATAGGTACCTTTCTATAGTCCAGGTCACATATAATATGAATTATGCTATATGTATTTATTTTTGTTTTTATGGTCTGTTATTAAAGCTGCAAAGTATAAATTCTATTTTTTATTTTTTTCCTATTGGCCCAATTTTTGACACCTTCCACAGTCTATGGAAAAAGCTTGAGAAAGTTCTGGAAAACCTGGAAAAGTGAGGGAATTTTATACGAATGCAATAGTATGAACCCTGAATTAACAAATAATATTATTTACCTAAACTTATGTTTCTTACACACTCTTTAATAATTACACCGGCCGACAAATGAAAACTTTTTGAACGTTGTTTTGATTTGAGTGAAATATATCACTAATTTAAAGTATTTTGAACACAAAAATACCTACATAATTACTCAGATCAGGTTTTTTTACAAAAAGGAAAAAACGTTTATTTTGAAATTTTAAGAAAAAATCAATTATTATATTATAAATACATATATTTGAAAACTTACAAAGAAAATATCATGTACAATAATTGCTACAGGGCTATTTTGAGTAACATTTTTTGCGTTTAGCGATAAATTTACGTCTGGGTGTAATTTTTTTATAAGAATCATCAATAATATCAAGTTTTATTGACCAGCAGTAATCAGCCATCATATTCATATTCCATCGAACTTGGTACCTTGTTTTCATAGTTTGTATGTCTTGGTGAAACCTTTCTCCCTGTTCTTCACTATAATCACCAAGGTTATCATGGAAAAAATCCACATGTGAATGTAAAAAATGGAGTTTTATACTCATATTACACCCCAATTTTGTATACTTATTTAATAAGTTTGTCACAATATTTTTCTCAGGGTGTTTGTGATTTCCTAAAAAATTGTTGACATCTTTGAACGCCAGCCAAGCTTCATCAAAGATTTAATTTGTTGTCCATCGAACACTCCTTTGATATCTGATAATCTGATAATCTTGAAAATTTTATACCCAAGTATTTAAAAATATCATTTTCTTTATCCAATGCCTTAAATAACTGTTTACCGAGTTTAATATGAAGCGGAGGTAATAAAAATTTTTCAGGATCAATTAAATTTTTTCGTATAACATTATTGGTTCCAGGTTTGAGATTTGTACGAAATGCTTTTCTCGTGCTCTACTGCCAATCGCACAAAAAACAAGGATATTTCGTGTATCCTGACTGCTGATCTAACAGCAAAGTTATAATTTTCAGATCTCCACAAACCTGCCAACCGTGTTCTTCATATTTAATTTTATCTAGTACTGTTTCCAAATTTTCATAAGTCTCTTTTAAATGAACAGGAACAGAAGCATACTGATTATGGCAATAAATTAATGATTCTTGATGACTGAAACTAACTGCGGAGTCCACGATTTTAGTTGTATTTTGAAGCCAAAATAAGCATTATACGTATTTTCCACAAACAGTAATTTTCATTTTTTGCTTTGAAGTCATAAAGTTTCCACAAATGTAACAAAATGCATCTGGACTATTATGCCACTTTCTTGAAGACATTATGTTTCTTATACGTTTTTTAACCACAAATCATTAATTATATATATTAAATACCAAAAGTAAAACGTAAACAATTTTTTGAAATAAACACTGATTTTAGTAAAAAGTTTGTAAACAAAGTAACTATAACAGCTTATTTCCATGTAACGCGTTTCGAATGGGCGTGTGCTGTTCTAACTAATATATTTTCTCACGAGAGGTTGCTTAATTCAAGGGAAGAGCGCCAAAACTCAATAATTTAATTTATATTTACTGAAAAATCAAAAATAGCGAATATATTAATTTTACTAAAAATCTTATGTGATACGATAAAATTAAATCTGATTTCGTAATCAGCACTACAAAATTAGTGGAAAAAATTAATTATATCTTGGACAAGGGAAATCATGTCGGCCGGTGTTATAAATAATTATAATTTTTCGTAACTCGTTACAAAAAAACAACTCCCCAAAATAAGCTGGTTTTTATTTAGGGTTGGCAGCACTGAAAAGTTAAGTTGACTTATGCTTCGATATATTTGTCATAAAGTCGTATTCTTAAGTAGAAGGTCTGATTTTTGTTTTATCTTATAAAATGTCTGTTCCAAGAACTAGGCAAAAGGATACAGTGTATTTGCTTGGAGAGTTACATCCATTATTTTAACAGAAATCAGCTACCAACTTTAAGGTAAGTCCTCCTTCAGGGCTCCCAGCAGGTGGTTTTTTTAAAGACTTGTCTATATTTTTGTCTTAAGTCTATAAAAGTCTATTTTTTTACCTAAAGTCTATAAAATCTATATTTTCTGTTAAAATGAACTATTAAAAAATATTTTTTTAAATATAAATATTCACAGTTTTATAAATATCGAAACCACAGTAAACCAAGTGAAACATTCGAAAACTTCGCAGTTTACATTTAAAGTTCCCGCCGTCCAAAACCAAACCGCCCGCCAAAATTATTTCTGAATTGTTTCTGGTTTGGTCTAGGGTTTCGTTTACGTTTATAGTTTCGGTTCGCTAGGTTAACACTACCTATATATGCATTTTTCATGAAATTAGTAAGTACCTAGTATCTATCAAAGAACATGTGACAAAGAATGTGTTCCTATTCTATGTTTTATCATCCATTCCATAACCCTAAAAAAATATGTTCAGACGATAGCAAAGGTAAGTGTATAACTATAGTTTTGATAATTAAAAATTATACATTTACATTATTTAATAAAAACAAAGTTTAAATGTACTTGTACTGACATAAAAAAATTAAATTGAACGATTAAGGAAGGGTGCAGAAAATAAAAAAAATGACTAAAATATGTATGGCTTAACTAATGTGAAGGAGTGAACCATCCCAAAAAAGAAGCGGGGAAGGTAACTTACAAGATTAGTCGTCTTGCCCAAGATTTAGAAAAACGAAAGGCGAAAATCAGCTGCAGCCCATCTAAAAAAATATAACCCATTAAATGACTGATGCCAGTGCCTTTTATATAAATGTGATTCTATTTATTATAAGTTATAATTTATTACAGAATTTAATATTTTTTTTGTTATTTATGTATTTTATAACAGTTATGGTTACTTGTTAAATTTAATTCAATAAAAATTTATAATTTCAAGTTATCTCTATGTATTTTAAATCCAAATTTAGATCTTTTATCCCAAAAAAATGTATACCTCCATTTTACAGTTATTTCGGTAATTAATTTGGTCGTTTATTTTTTATTATTAGTCTCTTAAGTCACTATTTCTCGCAACATGGACTGCTGGGAGCCCTGCATTAGTTGTTTACTAAATAAGAGTCATAATGACATTATACCAATCATTATCGAGTTCTCCGAGCGTGGAGATTTTACTATTTTTCCGTCAGGTGGCGCCACAACGAAAGGTCATCTGTCAAACTGTATACTTTACGCTGAATTACACATTGAGCTTATACGCTGCAGAATAGTTTTTTGTCAAATTCTGTACCTTATAATAATGAACGTTAAAATATTGTCTTTGAAAAGTCATGCTGGGACCCAAGAAGAAAATCGCGAAAGAGTTTGCTTGTTATGTTTAAAAAAGAAGGCGGGTATGCGAAAAATTACTGGAGCTCTTCATAGTGCGGTTCAGGACATTTTTCCTTTTAATCCTGAAGACAACCGTCTTCCACGGGTCATATGCAGTGGTTGCAAAATACTTATTTATCGAAAAAAAAAGATCCGAATTCGTCTGCTGTTCGGATACCCGATTACTCTACATTTCCTTCTTTACCAAAACATACAAGGAAACAAGATAAAATAAAATGTCAGAATTTTATAGCGAGTGCGGAAAAGTTTTAGAAAGGACAATAAGAACTTTTAATGAGAGGTATCCCAATTTAACCCCACTCACCAAAATTAAATTCCGGACGATAGAGAATAGATTTATTAATCATGGCGCACTAAAAGTAAAACGAAATAGGCAAATATGGAGCGGATGACGTTCCATATGTTACGGTAGTCAAGTTGTATTCTTGGACTGGTGGATCTGGAGATTGTCTCCATAGGATTGTTTGTAGGTGTTGGTCGGATTTGTCGACCTCGATCTGCCGGTACATTTTTTCAATGTCTGCCGACATGACGAATTTGTGCTTTCCCCATCTTAATAGTAACATTAACTCATTCAGGCCTTTCCCAGACGATGTTTTGGATGACACATCGAAGACGACACGTAACTTCGTCGTAGTACTATCCTCTCGAATTATAGCATGGTGTGGAATGATGTATCTTGGTTTACTGGAAGACTTAATGGTAGGGGCCATATGGCCAAGATCTTCATACTCCTTCATAAATTTTCGGTATTGTTCCTCCAAGCGAGGGTTGGACCTGAATTTCTTTTCCATCTGAAGTAACCGTGCCATTGCTTTCTTTTTTGATTCTCCTAGCACGGTGGCCTCTTGCTTCATGGGTAGTTTAACAACATATTTGGAGTTATTCTTAACTATTGAGGCTTCGTACATTTGTTCGCACTTAAGTTCATCTGGTGTAAGTTTTCGGGGAGGATGTATTTCCTCCATTTCCCAAAACCTGGCCAAATCTTCTTGGTCCTCTACTATGCTGTATGCATGAGATTTTGCTGCTTGTGTTTGGTTCACATGACCTGACACAATCCATCCAAACTCGGTGTTTTAGGCGATGTATCCATCTTTAGGTCTTTTCAAACCTTCTTTAATTATCATTGGGTAGAGGTCTGCTCCAATCAATATGTCAATTGTTCCCGGTACGTTGTATGTTGGATCTGCTAGAAGGCAATTTTCTAGCTCTGGCAATGCGGATGTAGGTTCCGTCGGGAGTGAATCCATCAACTTCCGGAATGTGACGAGTTCACATTGTAGCTTGAAGTCACTTGGAAGTCTTGGTTTTAACGTGATTGTGGTCTTCGTTTTGGACGTCCCGGCAATAGTGCGGCCTATTGTAGAGACCGTGACTGAGGCCTTCTTTTGTGGGAGTCCTAGCTTTTACATGTTGAGTCCTTTGGATGAACGAGGCAATTCACATAGAACTTGTTTTGGTTTATGAAGTTGTATCGCTCATGTGTTGTTAGCCCAACGAATTTCTTACACTGGTAGATATAGTGTGGTTCCTTGCAGTAGATGCAGTTGGTAGACGTCGCACATAGGTTGATTTAAAGGATTTAGGCGGTCAAAATTATTTAAGGGTGTATTTTGACTTTAAATCATACATTTTATTGTAAGGTATTGCCCTTTGTAAAATTGGCATGTTTTCCGAGAAAAAAAATTAAAAATACAAGAAAAAATCTTAAAAGAAAACAATTTGTATGGCAAATTTTATAATCAAAAAAATATTGTACAATCTAAATTCATAAGTTTAGGTGCAAATACCTATTTTAAAATATTTAATTATTCATCTATGGATAAATCTTGATCCGTATCTGAAAAATCGGATTCGGTATTTGGTTCAGCCGGTAGTAACATATTGATTGTTTCAGGGCAAAATAATCTTGCTTTAGTTCTTTTTTTTCCTTTCATACTACTTAATAGTGGATCTGAACTTAGTAATAGTCTGTTATATATATCAATATTGCATTCCTCCCTCGAGAACTTTCTAGCGTAGTTTTCGCGATATAAGCGAAAATGCTTATTTTTGGCTTCTGCTGCCTCTTCAGACAACTGTCCTATGGGTAATAAGGCATTTTCGATAATAACTGCGCCATGAATTAATATTTTATGCATGGTCGGAGTCATTGGGTGCCATGAATATTGGTCGACATACAATTTCGCAGTTGCCATGGCATAATCATTAAATTTATGGATATTTATCTTATGACCACTTGAGATAGTTTCCAGTATAACTTTTAATCTATACAGGGTGTCCTGAAATTAGTGCACCATACTTTAACAGCAGATTCTACGTGCAAAAATAAGAAAAAAAGTCCCTATAAACATAGGTCAAGAAATGCCTCTTAAGGGAGCTACAGCCCCCAAAAGGAAAGCCCCTGAAGATGGTTTTTATTTAATATCTCCAAAACCGTTAAAGATATAAAAGTGAAATTTGGGGAATTAGTTAAACTTTTTATGACCAATAAGACGTACAATAATAATTTAAAATTTTTTATGAGGTTTGGGTCAGATTGATAGGAAGTAGGGTTAAAACCACCTTAACTTTTTTGTACGTATCTTGTACCAGAATTTGGTGTCAGATTATGAAATTTTAGAGTTTTGCACATAAAAAAGGTCATTTTGTTGAACTTCGATAACATACACCGTTTTC